GGGGCTGTCCACTCCCAGGGTGAACGGTGAACCTCGGAGGTAACCTCACCACTGAGCTAAAAGGGTTTCTGGGGGCCATACTCTCGAGGTTTCTCCAGTCTCTTTTAGGCCAGTAAATCTGGTCTTTTTTTTGTGAATTAGAATTATGCTCTATATCTTTCTCCAGCTCTGTCCAGAACCCTCTGTTGTGATCCCGGTCAGAGCAGTCAGTGGTGGTAGCCGGGCACCATCTAGCTGTACTGGACTCAGTCCAGTGGAGGTCTTGGTAGCTGTGGACAATTAGTCCTTCAGACTAATCTTTCCCTTGTATCCTGTTCTCTTCATTCTCCCTTCCTCCCGAAGGGATGAGACCAGTGGAGTATCTTAGATGGCTGCTCACAGGCTTTTAAGATCCCAGACACTACTCACCAGGGTAGAATGTAGAGCATTGTCTTTATAAGCTGTGTCATGCCAATTGAGCTAGATGTTCCCCGAGACCATGGTCCTCCAGTGGGGAATGCTTTTACCTTAAGCTTCTCAGGTGTGTGAGAACCATGAATCTCCAGTCTAGGTCCTTCTCCTCCCAGCTACCTGTACCTAACCAAAAAGCCAAACCAAACCTGTTGCCATCAAGTTGTTCCCGACTCACAGTGATCCTGTAGGACAGAGTAGAACTGCCCCATAGGGTTTCCAAGGCTGTAATCTTTTTATTTTTTTATTGTGCCTTAGGTGAAAATTTACAGGTCAAGTTAATTTCTCATACAAAAATTTATACACGTACTGTTATGTGACCCTAGTTGCAGTCTCTATAATGTGACTGCACACTCCCCCTTTCCACCCGAGGTTTCCCATGTCCATTCAGCCAGCTCCTATCTGTTTTTGCCTTCTTATCCCACCTCGACTGGAGCTGCCCACTTAGTCTTGTGCATCTAGTTGAACTAAGAAGCACACTCTTCATGAGTATCATTTTATGTTTTATAGTCCAGTCTAATCTTTGAAGTGTTGGCTTCTGGAATGGTTTTAGTTCTGGGTTAACAGAGTCTGGGGGCCATGTCTTCTGGGGTCCAAGGCTATATAATCTTAACAGAAGCAGACTGCCACATCTTTCTTCTGTAGAGTGGCTCATGGATTCAAACCTCTGACTTTTCAGTTAGCAGCCAAGAGCTTAACCACTGTGCCACCAGGGCTCCCTGTACCTAGAGCTGGTATTAAATCTCTAATTTTTGACTGCTCTCCACAGTCTTGAATTAGAATTTAAAATTAAAATATTATTTTTTGTTAGAGAATCTCAACATATGAGATGTGTGTATTCAAACTCTCGGGTTTAGCGTTTTTGCCGCTGGAAGAAAATTTCTAGATGAGTTTGTGTGTTTCTACTGAGACTTTTTCCATTTAGTGGATATAAAACTTCTCAAACACAGAAAAATGCCGGTTGTAACTGGTTTTGTAAAAGTTACTCTAAACCTTACTTAAAACTTGAGAAGGTTCTTAAAGACTCCTTTTACCTTTAATAAGTCATGCCAGAACCCCTAATGTGTTAAATATTTTTGCCATTTAAGAAACATTCTCCAGACTGAGATAAAATGATTGTACAGACTCTGATATCCCTGGTCACTGTGTTTAGAAAGACAGCTGTAATTCACATTTTTATTGTTTGCAGAAATGTCCTGTTAGACCATTTAGTAAAAGACCCAAACGATTAAATTTAAATGGTTTTGTAATTTCAAATGAGAATTCCTAGTAAAGACATTTAATATATCATTTGATTTCTATCATATTTGTAAGTACAATTTAGTACACTTAAATTATGTTTTTACAATTGATATCATCAAAGCTCAAAACTCAATATGAATTTTAAAAGTATGCTTTATGAAGACTTGTTCCTATTCTTGTCCTCATCCAGCCCATTCCTCTTCCATTAGGTACCTTTAGATAATCAGCTTTATTACTTTCTGAGGCACCTTGGCAGTGTGTATATAAAAACAAGCAAATATACAAACATTTTTATTTACCCTACTTTGTTACATAAAAGGAAGCATGGAATTTACTGTTGCTCTTTAACAGATTATCCTGGAGATATTTTCATAACAATGGTGACCCCAGGTGTGCAGAGTACAACTGCATTCCCCATGGTTTTGAAAGCTGTGACCTTTCATAAGGAGAATGCCAGGTTTTTCTTCCAGGTTGCCTCTGGTTGGGCTTGAAACACCAACCTTTTGGTTAGTAGTCCAGTGCTTAACCATTTGCCCCACCAGGGTGTCCTTTCATAACAACGACAATATAAAAATAAAAATGAATTAAAAACCCAAACCCCTAGCTCTGGAGTAAATTCTGACTCATGGCAACCCATGTGTTACATAGTATAACTGAACTCCTTAGGATTTTCTTGGTCTTAATCTTTAGGAAAGCAGATTCCAAGGCCTTTCTTCCACTGCACCACTGGGTGGGTTCAAACAACTAACCTTTTGGTTAGTAGTCCAGGGCAAAACATTTGTGTCACCCAGGGACCTTCTAAAAATACATAGAGAGCTTAAATCTAAATCCTTATAAAACTCTGTAGTTCCATGTAGTTCATCTTAGTTTTGTTGTTTTTAACCATATTACCATGAAGGGACACTTTGACTGTAACATTTTGCTTTTGCAAAGCTTGATCTAGTGTATATAAATGCAAATTTCTAAAATCCAGGTATCCAAAGTTTAGTGTAAAAGTTTTTCTAAACAAAGAGAAGTTAAATCAGAATGAAGGGGTTTTCACATGACTTTGTAAAGTTAATGTAAAATATTGCTAAAGATAATTCAAAAACAGTTGCAGCAATACTTAAATAGGGAACTGCCAGAAATTCAAGCTGGATTAGGAGGAGGACGTGGAACGAGGAATATTATTGCTGATATCAGATGCATGTTGACTGAAAGTAGAGAATACCAGAAAGATGTTTACATGTGTTTTATTGATTATGTAAAAGTATTCGACTGTATCATAACAAGTTATGGATAACATTTTGAAGAATGGGAATTCTAGAACACTTAATTATGCCTGTGCAGAGCCTGTACATAGACCAAGAAGTAGTTGTTAGAACAGAACAAGGGGATACTGCATGGTTTAAAATCAGGAAAGATATTTGGGTCAGAGTTGTTTCCTTTTGCCATATTTATTCAGTCTGTATGCTGAGCAAATATTCGAGAAGCTAGAGTATATGAAAAAGAGCATAACATCAAGATTATAGAAAGTCGCATTAACAACCTGCAGTATGCAGATGACACAACCTTGCTTGCTGAAAGTGAAGAGAACTTGAAGCACTTACTGATGAACAGCAAAGACTATATAGCCTTTGGCATGGTTTACATTTTAATCTAAAGAAAAGAAAAATTCTCACAACTAGACCAATAAGCAACACCATGATAAACAGAAAATATTGATCTTCTAAAGGAATTCATCTTACTTGGATCCACAGTCAATCACCATGGAAGCAGCAGTCAGGAAATCAAATGAAGAGGCAGGGCCAAGAGAGCAAAGCAGTCACATGCTTCCTGTGGTCCCTCTTACAACAAAGACTCGAAAAAACAGATGAATCGATTATATATGACAATCTAGGAGCCCTGAACATCAAGACAAAGTTGAGGAATCAGACTGAGTGGCAGGCAGATGGAAAGATGGTTCAGAAGCATCGAGGAGTCACCAGAATTGACCTCACCAGCACCGGCACCCTGCAGGCTTCATTGGCTGGCACATGTGGGGTGAGGCAAGCAGTGGCACTGGGGATGCATTTTCCACATCAGAAGGGACCGAGCGGCTAAGAGTCAGTTCAAGCCTCCAGAAACAGCGAAAACCAATGCTCAACCAGTGAAAGATAAGTACAAGCATCTAAGCTACCACGTGGACCAAAAAAAATCCCCCCTTTGGAAAGTACCTTTCTCCCGTTTACCTGTTCTCTCCTCACTCTGCTCCGTCCTGGATCAGCTTCAGTGATTGCTGTGCCCCCTTGGACAGAAGTAGGATCTGTCAGCCGCCCT